TAAGAATCCAAATGATGGAAAGTACTGCCATGCTGTGGGCAGGGCTAGATAGTGGGAAAACGCTCCTGGTGCATCTGTGCTGGGAGAGCAACAGAGACACCCAGCTCCATGGGCAGAAACGGCGGCTGGAGAGAACAGTGCAGTCCCAGCATGAAAACCTGCTTGTCGTTGATCAGACTTATGGGTAGGAAAAAGATATTAAAGCAAGAGTGACATTAGGGAGAGGGAGTTAGGTATTATAGCATAGAATCACAGAATCACAGAATGGTCGGGGTTGGCAGGGCCCTCTGTGGGTCACCCAGCCCAACCCCCTGCCGAAGCAGGGTCACCCAGAGCAGGCTGGCAAGGGGTGAGTCTGGAATATCTCCAGAGAAGGAGACTCCACAGCCCCTCGGGTCAGCCTGGGCCAGGGCTCCGTCACCCTCAGAGGGAAGAAGTTCTTCCTCGTGTTCAGGTGGAGCTTCCTCTGCTTCAGTTTGTGCCCGTTGCCCCTTGTCCTGTCGCTGGGCACCACTGGAAAAAGTTTGGCCCCATGAAAAGAATAAAAGAACCTTTTGTCTGGCTAATCTTTGCTATGGCAGAGTACAGTGGCCCAGTTAAATCTGCTTTGTGCATTGGTACTGCAAGTTTTTAAAGATGGTTTAAGGCAGCTGCAGCCAACTGTATTTGCACAGATAAGCTGGAACAAATAAGTAGGCTCAGAAAATCTGGCTAGAGTTATCTTCAAAGCATTTTCAGGCAGCTAATTGAAAATTACCCAAGCCACCTTTCTGATTTCTTGCATATTATTGCATTGATTTGCCGGCGAATGGGAAGTGCTTGGAAAACGTACAAAGGATTTGTGAGTGCTAAGCTTTACTATTTGGAATTAATTTAATTATTATATAATAATTAATAATAATTATTATTAATATAATTAAATTAATGATAAATGTGTTTAATTATAAATATTACTCATGTAATAATCTAAAGCCAGTTTCTGCTGCTCTCTAACATGCTTCAGACTCCGGTGGGACTAATCACGTAAAAACACGTCTCTGACGGGAGGGGTGGGCCAGGTTGTATCGGTCGCCCTCCGCTTCTGGCTACCCCCTCCACTGCACTTCAGCCGTCCCTGCAACACCGCCGGAGAGCACAGCGTTGGGTGCGCGGTCAGCTGGCTGCCCTTCAGGGGCGTTTCCCTTTCCTGAGATGTTTCCGTGCTTGCAGGACGATGCTGTTCCTGTAGGAATTGCTCATGAAAGGCTCCAGGCCACTCCCAGCAACAGCAGCATCCTCCGGCTTGCGGAAGCAAAGGGATGCTTTTTCAAAGCATGCTAAAAAATCCAGGGTTCACACTTCATAAGAGCAGAGGAAAATTCCTCCGCTGCCAGGACAGCAATTCAGGGTTGCACGTCAACAACACGGTCACCCCGTGCTTGCTTTTATCTCCCTTTTAACTGAACCAATGCCCTGAGGACAAGTCCTATTCACAGGACCAGGACGTGGATTTATCTCACTTCTGGGAGTCTTCGCCACTCCTAAACCGGCGAGTGGATTACACTTGATCCATGTGGTGCTTATCAGCTACGACAGAAGTAGTACTGATAATCCTCTGAAGCCAAACTATCCGAGAAAAATTCGGTATGTGTCGCCAAGAGAAATTAAATGTATGAACCCAGATGAACTTGTCCCTTTCTGAGTAACATGAGCGTGGTAGCGGGATGTGGACTTTCCCAAAGTCAAAGTGTCTGTTCAGCAAGGTCAGGCTCACTCGCACGTCGAGGAGAATAACATAGACTGCCCAGCACAGCCACCGAGCATTGCCTGGGGCTGCTCCTCCCTGGTTTACAGTACATTTTGTGATCATTTTTTAATCCCCCATTCCTGTTTATTAGCAAATATCTCCATGTATGCCATAGAATTGAAAAAATGATGAAGTCTGCTCATAAACCGTAAACTGTGCTCAGCTATGGAAAGCCAAAGTTATGAATAGATGTTATTTGCCACAATAATACCCTATAAAAGTCAAAAACCAGAGAGTGAAAGGGAAGATTAACTATTATTGGGCACGCTTCAGCACACGGGATTATTTTGCACGTCAGTTATGAGTTAATTTGTAACATTAATCTAATCACAGTCCTCGGCAGAGACACAAAATGTTTTTAATTGGTCCTGTGACTTTTTAAATGACCACCTGATGAAAAGCTTGTAAGTTTTACCATTGCTTTAATGCTAAATACATCACGAAATACAAATCATATGCTTTCACTGCCTTGCTACTTCTGTTGTGTTGACTTTGTAATGCTGGCAGTCTGGAACCAGCTGTACAGCTGAAAAAAATCGAGTTAAAATCTTGGAGCAAAATGAGTAAATCTATAGCTGGGAGATAATAGCATTGGGACTGATTCAATGTAAGCAAGAAATCACCAGCTGAGTCATTAAAACCAGAGATGAATGGGAAGCAATAAATGGATGGCTCAGATGAATAAGAATGATTAGGCAGTGCATGAAGTTGGTTGGGGTTTTTTTCCCTAAAGATTATATTTTGTCCTCTAAAGTGGCATATGGCTCCTATGAAAGCTAATATTCCCTGTGAATGTGTCACCGCCAGTTTAGAAACACTCGGAGAGCTAAAAGGCAGCTTGGCAGGCAGCACTGAGCAGGAAGGGGCTTCCTGCCCGGAGCACCTGGGTACCAGTCGCTAGTCCGGGTCCATCGGGAGATGGCCAGGATGTGGCTTTGCGGGCAGAGAGGGCTTCTGCGTGTGGGGAAACATCTGCTGCTCCAAGGAAGGGCTGGTAGGTTCCATTTCTTGGAAATGTTTCACCCTGAGTTTACTGCTAAGTAGGACTGAGGGTAACCAAAGTCAAAGGGGAGGGTGATGTGGTCACCTGTGTCCGGTGGCGCAGACTCCTGCTACTTCAAGGAAAAGAAAACTTGAATGAAAAGGCGTAATCTCTTCCCTGACTCATGAAATATTGAAGTATCAGTATATCTTAATGAAGTATCAAAGGAGGTATCCCAGTGCTGGTCAAGAGGCAGCAGGAGGGTTTCCTCCAGGGTGAAGGGGTGCCCATTTGGGAGCTCTTGCCTCCTGGTCGCACCAGCTAACTAACAGAGATGGGCTTTTCCTGTCGACTGAAATCGTGATAGAAATATCGGTCCTCAGCCAAGCAACCTTCTTTACAAGTGCAGTCAAATGTGACATCAGACTTGTGTTTGATATGGGAAGCAAGCAGCTGAAGTCGGCTGGCTGCCATGGCAGGAGGCATGTTTGATTTACACCGCGGCAGCATGACCAGTTCTGCCCCTTAGAGCCTGATCCAGTAGCTAATAATCACTGCGGAATTTAATAAAGTTAGAGTGCTAGAGCACTCTTATTTATTGTTTCCAATATTGCATCCAAAGATGAGAAAACAGATTTAGACCTGTAAGAGTCATGAGAACACTGGAGGGGCGAAAAAGTGAAAAACTATAGCTTTGCGTTCAAGGCGCTACCTTTTTGTGCCAACACATTACGGCAGTCTGTCTCTGCAGCACCGTTTCAATGCCTGCAGTTAGTTTCTGCATTTACACGTTACACATCAAAGTTACCCTGTGCTGAGCTCAGCCAGCCAAAGTAGAAGTTACCCAGAGGAGTCTGGCGTGGACCTGAAAAGCAGTGCCCTTCTGGCTGCCAAGCACTCCCTACCCCTGCGCAAGCATCAAATTCCTCCTAAAATCTGGACCCTGAAATATTCTGCTCACTCTTCTCCCCGGACAGGGTCATTAAGATAGAATTATTTGCCAACGGAAGGTGGATCTCATTTGTTCAACTGACCTTGAGGACCAGACCTGTTGTAGCACTACTGACCTGGATGTTTAAAGCTCGCTTGCCTGAAGTGGTCCGTCCGCTGCCCATCTGGGGTGGGAGCAGGACCTCGGTGCTCCCCTGAGCATCACGTTCTGCCGGGCCCTCCTGCCCCAGTGTCTGCAAGAACTGCCAGTGCAGGGAAGGACATCAGTGCTCATGCATGCCATTTTCTACCAGGCAAATGTCAGTAAGTTTTTCCAGGAACACACAGATGAGTATTAATTTCTTCACCAAAAGCTGCAATATTCCCAGGTTACAGCGACCTGAACATGGTTCATTTTATTGGGGAAAGAAATGCCCTTTTTTCCTGTTCCCTGCTGATGAGGCTGATTGCCATCTCAAGAGGAACATTTTTATAGGAACCTCTTGAACAGATGTTGGCAAAAAATATTGGGAAATACAGGGTGCTTTGAAGATACTCTCTAATAAAGCAGTTCTTGCCTAGCACTTGTCGCATGTTGAAGATCAGCATTCGAGGGACAACCTTCTGTTTTCATCATTTACAGTTCAGCCGAGGCGTTTAAGAAAAATACTCTTGGCTGCTGGCGTGATCAGGTGCTGAGACGCACAGGAACCGGTTGCGAGAAGGCAGCCCGCATGGGTAATCAGGTTAGAGTCAGCTGCCTCTGCCCTCCAGCTGGCTCTGAGATGGCGCGGAGTCTAATTAGTTATAGAAAGGATTTTACCGAATAGTTGTAAACGGATCTGAGGGCTTGGAATGAAATCAGTCTGACTGTGGAAATTTTTCAGGATAATTATAAACTATTGTTGGCAGAGTGTGAAAGAGACCAAAGGACTTTTAACAGGGGGAAACTTGTAGCTGTGCACGCCGTTCTCTGCAGGGGGAAGGAGAGGGACAGAGGTTGTGAGGGTCTGGCGTCCAACTGGCGTCTCTTTGAGAAGAGGGCTTTGGCTGGTAGGGAGACTGCCTTTAGAGGTGGTTTTACTTTAATCCTCTTGAATGTTTTGTTCTTTTCTGTAATGTTTGTGGTACCCCAGGTATTGGGGTACCAACACCCCCGAGGTGGAGGGCGCGCATCCAGCTGAACTGCACAGTGAAATGCTAATACTTATTTAAAAAACAAAAAAAAGGAACAATATTTGAGGATTTTGAGCATGGTTTTATATAAAGGCATGTTTAAAAATTATCTCTTCGCAGATCAGAATGGTCTTGGCTCAGACCTTCGCCATCTCCCTACTGATGTAAGCGCTGAAAATTGCACCTCCCGGGTAGGCAGGTCCTCGCGGCCCTGC